CGATTCTCGATATATTGATGTCCTATCAAATATATCTTAGAACCTCCTCGCTTCTGTCTTTTGATTTCACTTGGTGGGTACGATTCATATTAGAGGGTGTTACTGGTTAAGGCGTTTTCAAGATCTGAATACCTGTGGCATGTTCACTGTACTTAATAAACACTTTAGACATACGCGCTGTCGATACTGTGTGACGCGACTCGGGGACATGTGAACTAGCGTGGTGCCATCTGAAGTGCAATAGTCAAAAGGCTGAATTAGCTGTGGCATGCCACAGTCCAGGATATGCAATTAATGATTCACTCCCAAATAAACTTAAATCCTGGTTAAACAGGTGTAAAAGTCTTATGATAGGTAACTTTGATGCACCTTCTATAAATTGGGAAACCTAGAAGTAGGGTTACCTGAAACACCATTTGATCACCAATTGTCAGAAACCACAACTGACCCGGCTTCATTCGAACACACATGGGATCCCATCAGATATGACCTTCAAACCTCCTAGTATGTCTTTGACTTAGTCTTCACACACGGTGATGATGCCATTCAAATGATGATACTATCACATATAAAGAGACGTGATCATGCGGTCATCTTATTCCAACTCATGGATGATATGGTATTTCAAGCAGTTGTACCGGCCTGTCGTTACATATAGAAGGCAAACGTGAAGGCATTCTACTCCGCACCCTTGGTCGTAAACTTGGAAATTGACTCAGGCACATCAGTAGAACAGGTATGGATTCACTTCCAGTAATTTTACGATTGAGGAACTCAACCATTCGTACCCTGGACAGTCCCAAAGATGGTGGTGCACAGCCACTTCTGGATAGACTGAGATATTAGACGTTTATTAACACAAAAGAATAGGTGTTGGAATGTCGCTAACGGCCCTGACAAAGCAAACACGATGGAATGTCACAATGTATAGGCACAATCCGGGTAGCTCATGGAAAGTACGAAAGTCATTTGGTACAGCCCGTAATAAAGCATAAATTCGAATCTGAATCTGGAAGACAAGGTCAGATACAAACCCATGGATTTTCAGACATTTTTACTTTAACTTCAAAAATAGGACGATTGTAAACTTTCAAAACCTTATGTATTTATATTTATTCATGCTATTTACCCTTTCAAGGCTCTCCAGAAAAACTAGTCAACCTATGGTTTCCAGAAAATGTGAAAGCAATAACTAAATTGAGATATGCACTGAAAAGCAACCAAAAGAATGATGTGTGCTGCGAAGAAAAAGTGTGATAGTTTTCAAACAACAACAAAATATGTAAATATTGGAATACCTGAAAAACATTCACTCCTATACAGTTAGTCATGAAGTTGAAGTTTGACAACGCTTTAACCAGTAACACCATTTACCATGAATCGTACACACCTAGTGAAATCAAAAGCCAGAAACGAGGAGGTTCGAAGATATATAACACTGTCATCGTTCCAAATAGTCCCAGTGTGGCTGTCCTAAGTGAGGATAAATGGACTTCAGCTCGGAGAAGGAGAAATGAGAAGAAAAAAGCTGTAGGAAAACAGCAGCTGGTTAGCAAGTCATTGAAAGAGACGGTATCAGGAACAAAAATTTCCCTGCGTGTCAAGACAGATCTCTCTGAGAGGTCAGTCATTTTTCATAAGTTAAGAGAATCTTCCGATAAGGAACCAAAGGCTAGATTTGAACACAACTTCTGTCACATTAAGTCCTTAATAAGCAAACTACTCCCAGATACAGTTTCAGGAGTTAGCATTTGTAAGCTTTATCGAATAGGACGAAAGGTGGATTCTGAAAGCTTTCAGAAAAACCGCCTCTTGAAGGTTACATTTGCCATGGTTGAAGAAAGGAACCTGATTTTAGATAACTCACGTAAACTGATTGGATCCGGAATATATGTCCGTGAGGATCTCAGCCTAGCTGATCGTATTAAGAGACGAGCTTCAAAAGTGGAAATAAATGAGCGTCGCCGAAACGGAAAAATAAACCTCGTTTTTAAGGGTTTTCAAATTGTCAAAGTTCGGAGCGAAACGATCATCAAACCACTCTGGGTGGTAAGGGAAAGTTCTCCACAGACTTAAAGGTATGCTACACAAATGCTCGCAGCTTACTCAATAAAATTGCAGAGCTTAAGTCAATGGTGGTTAAAGAAAAACCGGAAGTTATTGCTGTCTCGGAAACTTGGTTAACGTCGGAAGTATTAGATAATGAAATTCACTTGTCTGGTTTTTATCCAGTAGGGCTGATAGATTAAATCGTAGGGGAGGCGGGGTAATCCTGTACACGAAAAGTACCCTAACCATAAGAGTAGCTGAGACAGTAGCACATGTTTCAGGGACATGTGAATTGGTGCGATGTAGGCTGAAATGTAAACGGAAAGATATTGAGTTAGTTGTAGTATATCGCAGTCCAGAATGTGTGGTAGATGATTTTCTCCTAAGTAAACTTAAGTCCTGTTGTAACAAGGGTAAAAGTCTTGTAGTAGGCGACTTTAACGGGTTATCTTAGTAGTAGGATCATCGACAACGTCGTTCGATTGCAAACTGTTAGAAACATCGATTGCACATTAGAACTCCCACGAGATATTACTTCAAAAACACTTCTCTTTTAGATTTAGTCTTCACACACGGTAATGACGTCGATCAAATGACTTCCCTCCCACAACTAGTGAGAAGTGACCACGCAGTCATCTTATTCAAATTCGTGGCTGAGATTGCATGTCAAACAGTTGCGCCGGCCAGTCCTAACATACGGAAGGCCGATATGGAGGCCATTGACTCCTCAGCATCGGCTGAAAACTGGGAAATCGACTCAACGGCATCAGTACAAGAGGCATGGACGCATTTCAGGTAGTTATACAACCGGGTAACTCAACCATACATACCCTGGACAGTCCCAAAGACGAAGAAGCACGGACATCCCTGTATAAGCAGGGATAATCGACGTTTATTGAGACAAAAGAAGAAATGTTGCGATGTCGCCATCGGCCTTGGCACAGCAGTTACGATGGAACGCTAGAGATCGGTAAGAAACAAGTGCATAACAAAAATTCGAGAAGCTCAAAAAAAAAATGAAATGCAGTTGGCACAATCAGCACTCAAGCAGCCCAAGAGGATATTCTCGTACATAAACTACAGAACGTGGATGTATCATTGGATTCCAAATTTAATTAAAGAAGGGAGTGAATCTGAAATGATCGAGGAAGATCAGGACAAAGCAGAGGCTATGGCTGACTATTTTGGGGCAGTTTTCACTAAGGAACCTTCTTCGGACAAAGAACCAGACCAAGACGATGTGCTTAAGGCTCTTAGCACCTTAAACATGGAAAAGTCAACAAGGCCAGATGAACTACACCCTAAAATCTTGAGACATATTGCACATTACATCGCGGCCCCACTGACTGTGATATTCAATATGTCACTTAATGAAGGTGTGTTACCTATGGACTGGAAAGACGCAATCGTCACTCCCATATATAAAACAGGACCAAGACAAGTTCAATCGAACTACAGGCCTGTAAGCCTCAACAGTGTTGCAGTTAAAATATTGGAAAGAATAGTCAAACGGAACATAATGGAATTTATTGAAACAAATAACTTGTTAAATATAGAACAACATGGTTTTAGAAAGGGTCTATCCTGTACATCAAACCTCGTTATAACAAGGGAATTTCGGATGAAGGCGCTAGAAAACGGAATCTCAGTGGGTGTTGTCTACATAGACTTCAGTAAGGCTTTTGATAAGGTGCCAACAAATAGACTGCTATTGAAGTTGGAAAACCTTGGTATTGCTGGACCTCTCTTAAAATCGATTAAGGATTTCCTAGTAGGTCGTAGACAGAAGGTAAGAATAAATTCCAAGTGCTCCATCTGGAGACCAGTACTTGGTGGAGTACCTTAAGGTTCCGTCCTGGGTCTTTTATTCTTCATAATGTATGTCAATGATCTTCCAAGTATAGTACAGTCTCCAATGTTATTATACGCTGACGATGTAAACATCTGGCGAGTAATAACTAGAGACACAGACTCAGATGCTTTTCAGGCAGACCTAAATAATATAATTAACTGGTCTAAAGAGTGGCTGATGCCTATCAACGCGGCGAAGTGTGTCTACATGCACTTCGGGGACTCAAATGTTAATAGGTATAACATGGGGAAAGTGTAATTACCAGTGGTTCGATCTCATAAGGATCTGGGGGTGACAGTAAGTCAGGATCTTAAGACGACGACTCCTTGCCGGGAGGTCGCAGCTAAGGGGTTTCGAACCCTCTTGGCATTAAAACGGACATTCACTAAGCTAGATACTACCATGTTCACCAAAGTATACACGTCCTTAGTGAGAAATAAGCTTGAGAACTGCGTTCAGGCTGCAAGCTCCTGTTTAAAAGGTGACTCGGATATCTTAGAAAAAGTATAGAGGACAGCTACCCGTGCAATTCCAGAACTCCGGGGTTTACCATACAAAGAGCGGCTTGAAAAGCTAGATCTCTTCACACTGTCCCATCGCAGATTAAGGGGAGATCTAATTTTGATGTACAGAATACTGAGAAATGATTTTGGACCTAACTTACTCTCTCTTTTTCTTCCCACTAGATCGGGACATCTAAGAGGACATAGCAGGCGAGTAGAAAAGCCAAGAACGAACAAAATACCCGTGGCATACAGGTTTTCAAACCGAGTCATCAATACTTGGAACCTGCCGCCCGAAGTAGTGGTGTCCGCGCCTTCAATTGACTCTTTCAAGAAAAGTCTGGACACTCACAGAAGCATACTAGAAAAGGAATAACACAGGCCGTAGGCCTTCTGTTCTTACTATACAAATCTGAATATATCGAGAATCGACTGATCTAGACTGTCTAGCGATTGCAGGAAAAGTTGAGTAGGGCGTTCAGTCTCCACTCATGCAAGACCGAGCGCATTCAGCTAGATGAGTCCATTAAAACTAATATGGTCAGCATCAAATGTTGAAGACCTATAGAGCTATTGATCTTGGGGATTTATTTGCCGCTGTAAAGTCAAGGTCGTTGAAGTCAACCCTTTGATTTGGAAGTGATTTGTCATTCCACCAGTTATTTTGGTAAGTTTTAACATAATATTCTCCACCACCAAGTTAATTTTTGAGTTTCGATCGTTCATCACGCACCGAGATTAGTGTTTTTACCTTAACCCAATCTTTCATTTAAAGTATTAGGAGTCACGTGTTTGCATCTGTAATCATATTGGGTACAATAGTTTTTCCGGTTATCGATCTCTATGAGCCAAACGGTTCATGTGCGCTTTCTAACCCAACTTTGTGCCGGTTTTAGCCTCTGGGTGGTTTTTCCAAGTTATTTGAAAGTTTTCGAATGATGACATAATACCCCAAGCTCCCAATTTCGGGGGAAAATTTTATGTATTTTGGGGAAATTTGGGGGAAATGGCACAAAAACTCCAAAATTCCCCCAAACGTTGGGGTTTTCCCCAAGATTTCCCAAAACGTTGGGGATTTCCCCGAAATTGGGAGCTTGGAACTGTGCAAAAGCAATTGTTAGTAATCGAGTTGTCTTAACCGGAAGAGTGGCATGGAGTGTAATGAGTAAAGAAGACGATACCGAGAACCTTTTACAAATCTAGCGCCTGAAAATTTTAGATGTATTTGACCTGAGTGCGTGTGAATGTGCCAACAGTGTTGCTCGGACCCAATAATTATTGGATCTCAAGTTTGGGGGGTATTTTGGGGAAACTCTCGGAGTCAAATGACTTTGACGAATGTTAAACGGAAAATTTTGGGGAAATATTTGGGTTCTTGTGTCATTTTTCCAAAGTTTACTATAACGGCTTCCCCAAAGTTGGGAGCCCGGGACGTTATCTGTTTAAAGGATGTGAATTATTTACTTTTTGAAATATTAGGTTTCTGGTGAGTTTATCAAAGCAGCAGCTAGTTCTAAAACTTTTCACACGCTTTTTACTTCAGTTTACATTAGTTTAAATTTATTTGTTGGTGAGTATCTGTATATACAAATATTATATATATATATTCTCCGTTTTCTCATGTATTTCCTAGAGGTTGGCTTGCCAACGTTTTTGACGTTTCGTTTCTTTAACTAACACTAATGTTGCCTTTCTGGTACATTTTCATATTCACTAGTACCATTATAATTTCCGAATTTTTGTGATTAGCTGTTTGTAATGGTCGTCTAACGTTATCGATGGGGTTGACAATTGTCTCTGTTCAAGATGGTATGCTGTGTGACAAGTGCGGATAGTCCCACAAAATGTGTAGCAATCTATCACCGGCTACCCATAAACGTTCCTGCAGACCGCCTTCACTCCCGTTATGTAGAGAATGCTGTCTAAAGGTGAATCTCTCAGATGAAGTCTTTGAGGTCCTAACTCTGACGAATAAGTTGCCAAGTGACGATACCCACTCAGCGAGTCTGACATTGGACAAATATGAAACTAAAAGTTTAATCTCTGTTTACAGGTTAAGACAACTCGAGTGTTAACAATTGCTTTCGCACAGTATCATGTCATCATTAGAAAATTAGTACAGACCGGTCATAAAATATCAATGTCACATGAAATAGAAGTTAGCTAGATAATTTTCCTCTAATGTCTAAGATTGTAGGATTTATGATTTTTCTAAATGGTTTCTCATTGGATATTCTATTCTACTTTTGTTGGACCATAAAGCTTAAAGGTACTAGTGTTTTTGTTGATATTAGCTCGACTGGCTCATCATGATAAACAAAACTTTATCAAGGTAATAGTACGAATTTTAACCTAAAGATCTCTAATTGGTTTCTACACAAACTTCTAGTGCTCGTTAAATGTAATGAAGCAAGCCCATATTTCCATCACAAAGAGAACCCAAGTAAATTCACAAAAGTGAGAAAAGTACTCAAGGAGTTTTCACGAAGCGAGCCGTTTACTTTAAAATCTGGAAGGTTCTTCGATTATGACCATCAGTTACACATTAAATTTGGAGTGTCCATATAATTATTTTACATTTATTGCAGTGTTCCATTATTAAACTAAATACAAACTCAAAGAATTTCATTATTAGATCAGTCGTAACATAGTTCATTTTTCAAGCAACAACGAGATTACGAAGCCTACCAGAGTCAGGATATACATGTATCCAGTGTATTGGTATTCATATTCCGTTACTCAGATCTAAGCTGTACATATGTAACTCCACATAATGTCAGTCATCATAGTTGGAGGTGGTATCATGGGTGTTTCTGCTGCTTATTATCTATCAAAACGGAAGATCGACACACTAATAATTGAAAAAGAACAACTTGGATCTGCAGCATCTGGGCGAGCTGGGGGATTTCTCGCTAAGGACTGGTGTTCTCACAACGAAATGGATGTTTTAGCCCAAAACGGTTTTGATTTACACATGGAATTAGCAGATGAGTTCGGTAGTGCATGTGATTATAGACGTGTTAACACGTACTCTATATCATTATCTCCTGGGAAATCTTCCGGTTCTTCAAATTCACCATCTTGGGTCAGTGCGAAAGTAAAAAATTGCTCACTGATAGGCGACTCTACAACTACTGCACAGGTTAGTTTTGTATTTTCTTTCTTGTCGATGAGAGTACTTCCAAATGCCCTGTAAAAATAAACTCGTAAATACTAAACTGATTTAGTTTTAAACCATTAATGTTCATTTACTTTTATTGGTATCCGTTTTTTACTGTATATGCTTCACATATATTATTTTTTTGCGTACCATAAAGGTTTAGTGTAATAGGATTAAGTCTTATTTTAAAAATAACAGCTGAAAGCCAGTTGAACTAGTCCTCAGAGTATTTTGCTCATCGTCCTAAACACCTGGTCTGAATATAGACTATGGTGTCATCTTTTTCCTCAGCAGTCTTATTAAAGGCTTAACTTTTAATACCTGTTCATTTGATAAGTCTAAACAACCATATCCCACTACCCATCACCTCTGACTTTTCTACTTCTTTTGTTTTAACAGTCGACTATTGTTTGCGATCAAAGTGTATGCTTTCTGTCTGTGTATTTCATTATGTGTGTATCTTACCGAAATTATTTTCTGAGCAGCTGTTATTTCTGTCGTAGAGCGCTCGCTTTGCATGCGAGAGGACCCGGGTTCGAAACCCTGCGCTTCCAAATCGCGCTCGTGAGTCACTTTGCCCCCAAATGCCCTGGTACAGCCGAGAGTGGGGAGAGTCCGCTCACCCTCTTGAAATGCTATCACATGGCCACGCGTATATAGCCTCTGCCAGGGAAGTCCTACTCACTGCCTCCTAGTAGTGGGGGTGTTTACGAAAATGAGAGGACGAAAAGCGAATGATCGGCGCTTTATCTGGGTTGGTGGACATGGAGAGTCCACCTAGGGGAGTTAGTTGGAAAATCCTGATTCCAAACCAATGGTGCACATGGGCTCCAGTATCTTGAGGAATAAATGGCGTATGAACCAATCGTTGATCATCGGCTACCATGGGACTGCATCTCCTTACGATGCTCCACTGCCTTGTGGATCAGACCTTTAGGTTGAAGGCTCTGGATGTGGCTTCCTAAGAAACCACCTGCTTCGGTTTGGGCACCCGGGCAGTATCACAGCGCTCGCACAAACCAAATGAGATTTGTGTGGCACATACGTATTTGGTGCCTCCTTGTACCAATATCTATGTGTTCAAATAATAATAAATAATAAATTCCTCTGTTGTTTTCCTAACCTTATGTTTTGTTGCTGATTGATATAACCTTTGTATTTATAGCTTTTTGGACTTCATGCCAAATTATTCCGATTATGACTGTTCACCCTAATTTTTTTCCTCAGTGTTTGGATATTTCTCCCCTGAATAACTTGACACATCTTTCAGCCAAAGTTTAAATGATTCTCCGGTTTTGATTTCCTTACATTTAAATCAGTCAGTCAGTCAGCTGCAACGTAGGACCAGGCACGTATATGCATCGGTCCAAGTTGCCATACCGCATTAGCACAACAAGATGAACACCGGATTCATAAAAGTAGTTAATTCAGTGGTGGTAATATATAGAAGAAAGATTGTGTATAAGGAGATATTACAGGAAGAAAGAATTAGTTTCTAGAAACAAAGATTTGAAGTGATTTTAATCTCTTAATTTAAGGAAGACAGAGAGTGTATACACCGACGCCATTGTGATCGATTCTGAGCCATGTCACCAAGAGTCTCCAACCATTGGTTACGATAGTCACGCGGACCCCAACCAGGTAGTCTGCATCTACCAACATGGCTCAGCACAGTAGTTAGTGACTTCAAGCACTGATGCCACGTTTTGGTTTGGCCGCCCCTAGCTTTCTTCCAATTATCCCTAACACCAGTGAGCATTGCGCGTCGTGGTAATCGGTGTTCAGGCATACGCAGCACGTGGCCCAACCATCTCAGTCGATGAAGATTCATAACCTCATCAACTGATTTACCATCATTCCCTAATACCCTGCGTCTAACCTCACTATTACTTACCCGGTGATCCCAGCAGATGTGAGCAATATTTCTAAGGCACCTGTAGTCAAATACTAGTAACTTACAAGTATCTTCTACTCTTAAAGGTCATGTTTGGCAGCCTTATAGTAGAACGGAACGAACTGCCGCGCAGTATACTCGTCCCTTAATTGATAGACGGATATCTCGCCTTCGCCATAGATGACGTAAGTTGGCAAAGGCCAAACGAACTTTTCGAATCCGTGCTGAGATTTCGTCAGACACCAACCCATTAGGGCTGATCAGACTTCCAAGATAAGTGAATTTGTCGACGCGTTCTACTACTTCACTCCCTCCCGACCGTAGCTGCTACCTTGACGTGGTGGTCGGGCTTGCCTATCGTGATGACCCAACCGAGCTATATTGGCTAGAACACATGTTCCTGCAGGTTCTACCATGCCAGACAGGTCGATTAGAGAACGGTAAGACTAAAAGCAGCAACTCAAGGTCTGAGGGCGAAGTCGTACTGCTGACTGTACAGAGGTGTGACAGCAGTAAGGTGTTTCCATCGGACAACCAGCATCCGCAGCGATGCTGCCTTCTCACAAAGAAGGAAGGGGTTAGAAAAGGTCGACCCTAAAAATGTCACACCTCACCTTACCCCACGTATTTCCGTCTCCGGCGGTAAGGCCCTTTGAAGAACGGAGCTAACACATTAAAAACCTCCCACAAAAAGGCTGTGCGCGACCGGCCTCAAGCAGTTGTCCCTTGAGCCCTGCGGTCACGCACCCAGGTCGTTAAGACCAACGCTAATCCGATTTCCTTTTCAGGTTCCTCAAGAAATACCCTTCCACGGTGTGGGCAACCGGGAAGTGACATCAGCCCTCATACCCGTAACAGCACACGAGACCACGTTGGTCACATTCAAATCCTTCCTACACCTCTTAATGACTCTCTTATCTCCACGACTAGCCCTTCTTACGTCCCTTTATCACCTCGCCCCACTAGTGCAAACGATTAGAGTACGCGGAATGTTATTCCTGGTCTCCTGAAACCACGCTCTAAACTACACGTAGGAGCTTTCAACGTCCGAATACTGTGCCAAATAGGACAACAGGCTTCCTTAGCTAGGATTTTAGAATCTCACTCCATCGATGTGTGCTGCGTCTCCGAAACGCGCACACAGGATCCTAGTAGTGTCATTCATTTGACCTCACCATGTCAAAGTAACGAACCAACTCGATTTACGCTTCGTGTGTCTAGAAGCCTTGATGCTGCTTCCCGTGGTCCCGCTAGCGTAGGTATAGCAATGAGTCCTAGGGCAGAACTAGATCTCTTAGACTGGATCCCAGTAGACAGTCGTTTGTGCGCTGTCCGACTAAAATGAACAGTAAGGACTCGGAAAGATAGGGACACTCGTCGTTGCCTCTTCGTCGTCTCTGCCTACTCTCCCACTGACTGCAACTCAGATAATGTAAAAGATGAGTTTTACAGAAAGCTTTCCGACCTTCTCCGAGAGGCTAGGCGCTCTGATGTAGTAATAGTGGCTGGTGACTTTAATGCTGAACTAGGTAAACTAAGTGAAAGGGAAAGACACCTGGGTGGATCTTATGGTGTCGCGGCTCAAAGAACAGATAATGGTGACCGTCTGTTGCGACTACGCTCAGATAACCGCCTGTTTCTTGCAAACACTAACTTTAAGCATAAGGAAAAACATTTTTGACATGGCGACCCCCTAATTCGTCCCAACGTTGGACCCAAATAGATCACATCGCTATCAGCCACCGATGGAGGGGCTCGATAGAAGACTGTCGCTCATTCTGGTGCGCATGCTTAGACTCAGATCATGCTTTGGTGCGAGCGCGTATTTGTCTACGTCTTACTGGACGTAGGAAAGATGGTGCAAAGAAACCCCTTAGGGTCCTACTTAATGATAGTCAAGCTGAGAGTATATTTCAGGAACAACTAGAAAAACAGGCAGCCATGTAAGTGATGCCCACCCCGAGGCAGCGTGGAATGACATCCAAAAAGCTATAGAAACAGCAGTGACGTCTGCAAGTACGGCAAATCATAAGGTTAGGGAGAAACACTGGATCTCAGCAGCGTCTACCGCACTGATAGATGCTCGAAAACTCATTCCATCTGGCTCTGAACATAACGAAGAGCGGAGTCAGCTTAAGCGTAAGCTGACTAGAAGCCTACGCAAAGATCGTGAACAGTGGTGGGTAGCGAAAGTAAGAGAGATGGAAAAGGCAGCGGCAATAGGTAACAGCAGGCAACTGTTCAGACTTGTTAAGGAAACCGGTATTAGGAACCCAACTGTTAGCGAAACAATCTCAGAGAGAGATGGACATATTATTCATTCTCAACCCAGGAGATTGGATCGATGGGCAGAATACTTTAGAGATCAGTTCAACTGGCCTTCAGCCACACTTCGGTTTCCCACGATCTCCAATTTACCTGAATGGCAAGTTAATGTGAATCCTCCGACTCTTTACGAAGTTGAAAAAGCTATAGGAAATCTGAAGCGTGGGAGAGTAGCAGGCCCTGACAGGTTTACCCCTGAGATTTTTAAGGATGGCGGTCCAGTATTAGCAGCGAGATTGACTGAGGTCTTAGGTAGAATCTGGGAACTGGACGTAATCCCATCTGACTGGTCTCAATCACTGATTGTGCCAGTCTATAAGAAAGGACAAAAGTCCTCTTGTGACAATCACAAAGGAATTAGTTTGACTAATATAGTGTCTAAAATATTAGCTTCAATAATACTTCGACGTCTAACCAAAGCTTTTGAAATGCAGACTAGAGAAAACCAGGCTGGTTTTCGACCTGGACGTGGTTGTATAGATCAGATATTCACACTACGTCAGGTTCTAGAACATAGACACACATTCAGACGCCCCACAATGGTAGTATTTCTCGACCTTAAGGCGGCATTTGACTGTTGATTGTGAGGTTCTATGGCAGTGTTTGTCACTGAAAGGAGTACCAAAGAAGTACATTAACCTTATAAAGGCTCTTTACTCGAACACAACTGGTCGAGTGAGAGCTTATGGCGAACTGTCATCAGAATTGATTACCTCAAGTGGTGTTCGTCAGTGCTGTCCACTCTCTCCATTCTTTTTTAACT